CTGTTTTTTTCTGTGAAGATTCGTCGACCTTCCCCCCCCGAAGTCCCTGTTCTGCTGCACAGCAACCCCGAGAGAGAGAGAGAGAGAGAGAGAGAGAGAGAGAGAGAGAGAGAGAGAGCAGCGCACTTAGAAATGATCTGACACCCCTTGCTTGCTGTTCCGCTGCATTGTCGTCAACTTGTCACGCCACCAAATTCAGGATGCCTAAAGCAGGTGCAGATGCGATCAAGCGCCACTTTGAGAATGTTGGAGTGCATGGGGAGCCGGGGAAAGGGAACTACATATGGAAATGCATGTATTGCGAACTGCTGTTCCTTGGGAGCGCAAAGCACTTCATGTCCACGACAAAAGGGCCCAGGTGCAACATCAACAGGCTAGGCAGAAGACTATCGGCAGAGGAAAAGGAGAGGAGGGAGTTGGGCCGGCTGGAGGCAATTGCGCTGGTGTTGGAAAAGGCTGTGCCTCGGGCACCGTCATATGATTGCCTTTCAGACGTCGAAGGCATGGAAGACGTGGACGCCGAGGACGAGTGCAGAAACCCCCAACCAGCGAAAAACGAGTAAAGACTGGCCTTTCGACAACAACCAATGTGCGGCAGAGCACGCTGGAAGAGGGCGGGGCAATCATCTCAAAGAATGAAGAAGCACAACGCTCCATAGATGATTGGTTGATTTACGAAGGAGTCCCGTTCAACATGGTGCGCAGTAAGTATTTCTTGCGCATGCTGAATAAGGTTTGTGATGCAAAGCGGTCCTTCATCCCTGCAAAGTACGACGCGCAGCGGACGAAAAGGTTGGACATGTCACGGGGTCGCGTCGAGGAGGCGGTTTTGCGGTAGAAAAGGAGCTGGCCTCGATCAGGATGCATGCTCCAGCTTGATGGCTGGACTGATTGGAGAGGCAGACCACACTTGAATGTAATGGTCTCCTTTCCGACCGGTGTGCTTTTTTGGAAGTCGCACTGCATGTCAGGCAAGGACAAGGGCGCAACAGCGTACTTTGATATCTTGTTCGAGTCCATTCGCGAAGTTGGTGAGAAAAGTGTTGTTGGAGTGATCATGGACAACGCTGCAGTGTGTGTGAGAGCTGGCAGATTGGTGGAGGATACATTCCCTATGATCTTCCATGTGCTATGTGTTGCACACTGCTTTGACTTAGTGTTGCACGATGTTGGGAAGATGGAGTGGGTGGCTCGAACGGTGGGGAAGGCGAATGACTTGGTAAAGTTCATCAATAACCACCAGCGAGTCAGGGATGTTTACTGCATCCACTCGGGTGGGAGACAGCTACTGCGACCTGCAACAACGCGTTTCGCCACCAACTTCCACATGTTCGACCGCTTGAGGAAGCAGCGAAAAGCGTTGGTGGCTATGGTCACAACAGACGAGAGGTGGACAACAACGTTGGTTCCCCATGCACAGCGATCGACCTTCCACGAGATGGAAGATGTCTTGCTTGATGCAGCAGGGTTTTGGAAAAATGTCAACAAGGCAATCAATGCCGTATACGACATTGTTTTGCTGTTGAAGGTGGTGGATGGCAACGGTCCAACCATCAGCAGGGTTTATGCGAAGATGGACAGGATAGTGGAACGTCTGCGAGTCAACAAGGACTTGACGGCAGAGGACCGGGAGGAGATCGAGGTGATGGTCATGCGCAGATGGAATGCTATGACCACCCCCCTCCACTGTGCAGCCCTGTTCTTGGATCCGGAGTACCGGACGTCTGAGCCGCACAACGATCCAGAGATCCAAGATGGATTCTACACTTGGGTGTACACATGGCTGAAAGGGTCGCCGCAGGAGGTGTGCGACGAGGTGGAGTACGAAGTGGATTGTTGGGTTCAGAACATTGGGAAGTTCATCTCGCAAGCGACCATGGATGCAGCCCGTAAGCAAAACCCTGCAGCATAGTGGAAGCGCTAGTGCAATGAGCTGCAACACTTGCAGCCCCATGCCATTCGGTTGTTGGAGCAAGGGTCGTCGGCTTCAGGTTGTGAAAGGAATTGGAGCCTTTTTGCAGCAATTCACTCCAAAGAGCGGAATGCCTTGGCCCCGGAGACAGTGCACAAATTGGTGTACACCAAGTGGAATATGCGCGTGCTTGACTCGCTGCAGCGGATGCCGGAGAGGGCAAAAGACCTTGTTGAATGGGATGACCCACCGACGGAGGAGAAGCAAAAGGAGGCTAAAGAAAGAGTGAAGTTGGCTGAGCGCAGATTGAAGAGCCTTACCTCGGTTGGTGACGATGTTGTTCCACCTGTTGATGGCGGGGGTGACGAAGATGGGGATGAAGCTGCTGTTCCGTGCCGTGAAGAATGCAACCTCGAGGAGATTGAGGAGGGTCATTGCGGGGACTGGCGTGGATTGACAAAGGCAGGCAACTTCCTCGTCAAGCGTTCCCAAACTGAAGTGCAAAGGAGGGCACGCACCTTGGGAACAGAGGAGCACATGCGTGCTCACAGAAAGGGGGGTGGTGACACACTGCCTCATGGTGCTGCGACGACAGCACCACAGAAGGAGACAGGGACATCGTCGGCACAATCTGATCCTCCACGCCAAAAAAAAGGTAGAGGCAGGCCAAGAAAAACGCCAGCGACGGATGTGGGTTCAGATGCCGTGACTGCGAAGGGAGAGAACAACCCTGCGCAGACACTCGAGGAAAACCCTGCGCAAACACTTGAAAAGAACGGAGGAGAGGGGAGCAAGGACGAGGGGGGCAAGGACAAGGGTGTGACAAGGAAGAGGCCACATGATGATGAAGAGGAATGTTCATCGGACTACACATCAGGCGATGATGAGCGGTCATTGGCTGAGAAAAAAAGGAAGGGGAGAGAGAGAGAGAGAGAGAGAGAGAGAGAGACTGACAGTTTTGGGGCGGTCATTCATGATTTGTCAATCATGATTCATGAATGACTCTGCATTGTCTACAATGATAGTACAATCACTTACCACACTTACCGGACAACGGCCCTGTCTCTTATACACATCTAGATGTGTATAAGAGACACATGAATGACTCTGCATTGTCTACAATGATAGTACAATCACTTACCACACTTACTGGACAACGGCGGTCTAGAAGGCTAAAAGCCCATTGGCAGATGACTATATAATCTGTTGATATTCAGTTAGTATTTATTCAGTTCTGAGTCCTCCTCCTCATTCTTTCTCTTGACCCTCTTCTGATTCTTCTGAGTCATAAACACAGTTCAAGTTGTGCAACTTGTGCTACTAACTTGTGCATTTCAATTTTCAACCATTTCTGATTTTGTGTGCAGTGTGCACGCTGGCTGGCAGTGACAGCACAGTGCCCATTGCTCGCTGAGGTAATGTATGAAGTTACTATGAACGTACCATGTTCTGTTTTTTTTTTTTTTTTTTTTTTTTTTTTTTGGCCGAAAAATATATCAATCCTGATGGACATCCGGCATGTGGATCCGGGACATCCGGTGTTTCGAAGTTCCCGAACCGACCAGAAGGTCCGGGATCCGGGGCCCGGAATCGTTCCTGGGTCCGGTCCGGCGTAGCTATGGCTGAAACTGAAACGCTACGGAGAAGATTAAAATGCCCTCCACCCGGGCGTTATATTAAAAAAAAAAAAAAAAAAAAAAAAAAAAGGCATGGCGCTAGAATGGGGAAGGGGCCGTGCTCTTTCCCCTTTGCCCCCCAAAATGTTAATCATCCCGAAAGGCCCAAAACAGAGCAAATATGCATTGCCAAGCGCAGTCAGTCACAGGTTTACTTTATTTTTTTTCTTTTCAGTTGACGCACATAGTTACTGTAGTTGCATTTTCAACTGCGCGAACAACAGAGCTAAGAGGTGAATGACGGGCTAGGGGAGAGGATTTGTATAACTTCATTACATAGTAAAATATTAGCGAACATAATTTATTTTTTTTATTATTATTGTTAATATTTTTTAATTTCATCAATGCATAGGAGAGGCCGGGAGAAAACTGTCCCCTCCCTGAAAATATTAGGGTAGGACCCCACAGGACGGCGGAAAACGGTTTCGAAAGTTGCAACTTCCAGCCGACTGCCCACCGCCAACGGAAACGATGAAACTTAGAGGACCCCACCGCCGTGGCGAAATGTTGCTTTGGAGTCTGCACCGGTTACCCAAACAGGAATTTTTGGAAAATATTCCCTTTTCGGGAAAGGACAGGACCGTTGAGGGCATTCCAGGTCCGTTGGCGGTGGTCGTAATGGAAGGCGGGTGTGGATAGTGGGCGACCGTGCGGCATTTCCTGCACAGCACCGATATGGAGGCGGGCGACATATCTTCCCCGGTACCGGGTTCCAGGCCGTTGGCCTGTACATTGTGATCCAGGGAGTAGCTTCACCGTCACAGAGGCGCAGAGCTGCTAATGCCATACCCGTTCCCTTTGAAGCTTCCGAGCGCATCATCGTCGACACCACACACACGGACGCCCGATGCGCCCCTGCACGCATTCAACAGACGAAGCACATGACTCGTTGCGCCATAGTCACTGACGTAGGTGGGGTTGATGTTGGTGTCAGAAGACAACATTTTCCAAAGTTGTCCCTCTTGTTTTTGCAGGCGGTATCCACGCACACATAAACAGCAGAGGAGCACATCAGCGACAAGTTGCCGACAACGTAATGGAGGAGAGGAAGTCGATGATGACGTGTTGTTCATCACCATCACGGCGATCATGCAGTGGATGCTGCAGGCTGCAGCCCCAATGCCTATATTCAACGTCGACTTGCAGCGGTGCTTGGTACTTCTTGCAGGTTGTGTTTGCCATGGCATGGTTGTGAATTGGCTAGCGATGAGGAATATGGAGAGGGTGATGGACAACGGAAGGAGGATTTGGGTGTTGGAGCGGAGCGGTGGGGTTAAGAAGGACCTGCAGTGTGTGGGTCACCATCATGACAAGGTGTTCATCAGATTCTGCAGGCTGCCACGTCCACTCTTCCATGAAGTACTTCAGTACATCGGTCAGTTGATACAGCGCCAGACCACGAATTGGAGACAACCTTTGTCGGCGGAGCATAAATTTGCATGTGCCCTCATCAGGTGGGCGACTGGTGGTTACTACAGGCAGTCAGGTCACGGGCTGGGCATGGGTCTTATGAGTGTGCTGCGGAGCAACAAGGATGTGGCCGAAACTATCATCAGGGAATACCCTCATGTCATCTCCTTTCCACAGGGACGTCGTTTAGAGGACTGCATGAATCATTTTGAACGCAAAGGCTTCCCTGGGTGTGTGGGTGCTATTGACTGCACCCATTTATACATCGAAAAGCCCAGGAATAAACGCTCGGAGTGCTACTTCGATCGCACAAAACAATTATCCGTTGTAGCACAAGTCGTTGCGACCATGAGTGCTGAATTTCTGATTTTTATGTCGGGAGCCCGAGATCTGTCCACGACTCTCGCGTGCTGCGAATGTCCCGTCTTTGCGTTCAAGGTGAGAGCGGTGAAGGTGTGTTTTTCGGGGAGTCTACGTTGTTGCGAGGTGGCACATCAATTGCACACTACTTGTTGGGAGATGCGGGATTTCCCTTGCTCGATTGGCTGATGACTCCCCATAGCACGCGCAGGGATCGCACCCCCGTGCAAGTCATATTCGATGATGTCCACTCAATGGCGAGGAATGTCATTGAGCGCACATTCGGGATTCAAAAGGGCATCTGGAGGAATTTTGGACGGCGACAAAACGAGAATTTGAAGACCATTTGCTGGGAGTTCATGGCGGTGTGCATCTTGCACAATTTGCTGACGATGATGACAACGATGACGACAATTGTCCTCGCAGGCGACGTCTGCAAGTTCCACTCACGCACACAAAAAAAATATAAAAAATAAAAAAAATAAAAATAAATAAATAAAATTGGGCCTGTTGAACTTTCTAAGGTCCATTGACTCTTTTTCGGAACTCTCTGAACCCTGTGGTTCTTTCTAACTTTTTGGGCCTTTGTTTGTATGTTCAACAGTTCAGGTTTGGATCATTATGGTGAATAATATTTGAATAAAATGAATGCCCTTGAGTGGGGAGAATTTTTACAAAAATCTCGCCTCCTCTGGCGTTTTCCTTTTCATATCTGAGGTGCTTATTCCCTTACCACTTTATTAATTTTTTTTTATATATCAAGTTTTATCCATTTATTATTATTATTATTTTTGTCGGTCCTCCAAGCTTTAGGGTATGAAGTATATAGAGGTCCCCGTACCAAATGGGGAGGTGGTGCTATTTAAATTCCTAGGTGCACTTCCTGTTTTTTAC